ACATCTTGTAAACCTCAATAATAAATTTTTCTAGTCCATTTTATTTTCCTCAGTTTGGTCTAACTGTGCTATGAGTATGAAGCATATTTTAACAGTTTATGAAGTCCAGACAGAGTTAGTGCAAACTGAGCTGTAAATGCAGTTCAGTTCACTACATCAAGCTAAAAAGGGGGAAAAAGACAATTGTGTGTCACTAACCAGTCTGATGCAGTTAAAAGGCAAATACTAACAAAACAGCATGACTTGACTCAACGACCTGCTGAGGTTGTATACCAACAAAACACATGTGGGCACACACGCAAAGACCACCGATCAGCTCGTTAATCACCGGCCAATAAGGACGGCCAGCGGCCACCAACTCTCAGATTATTGCGCCCGTTGACCCGGAGGTCAGCAGTTAGTAGTTGAGCGCTCCACAAAAGGACCACATCATGTACTTTGCACATACAGTGGAGATGCYGCCGGCGCCGTTCAGAATGGACACATGGCAGGCCCGCTCACAGATGGGACRTGAACGGGGGGCGACTGGAGGGGTTGTTGCCGTGGTGAAGGAGCACAAGTCGATGTAACAGACTGAGACAGTTGCTGTTTCAGTTGGATTTCATAACATCTCACAGACAAACAACATCATTTTGTTTCACGCAGTGATTTAGCAAATCAAATTTTAGTTTAAGGATATTTAAGGATAGGTTTCTCTACTGTACTTTATTATTACTGCATCAATAATTCAATTCACATAAATTCATATCTAAATTAATGAACTTATTGTACCTCTTAAATTTGGTAATTGTCTATAACAGGGCTATTCAAATGGTGGCCCGTGGGCCGGATGGTTCATTCATCTCTTAAGCCCAAATCCCAGGTTTTCTACTTTAATTACCATGAGTTTTATTTGTTAAACATAGACATGTTTGGTGTCTACAGAAATGCCAGGGACTTTTCTAGAAGCTGGTAAAAACAGTTTCTATGCACACTCAAGACAGTTAAAACTACAAGCAGCTGAAGATATGAAATTGAAAATAAAAGCGGTTTAAAAATGTGGCAAGTCAGAGATGTCAAAATAATGTGTTAAATAGGAGGCATAGAGTGTTCTTTTTGTCTTTGATATTGTTTAATTATCACTATAGGGTTCTGTATGTTGTATTCATGATTAAATGCACCAAAATAAACTATTTCAAAAGGTAACAGATCTTTGTAATAC